ACAGCAGACAGAGACACACACAACCACAGACACACACAGACACACAGCAGACACAGACACACACAGCCACAGACATAAAACAGTCACAGACACACAACAGGCACAGACATACAGCAAACACACAGCCACAGACACAGACACACAACAGACACAGACATACAGCAGACATAGACACACATAGACACACACAGCCACAGACACACACAGACACACAACAGACACAGACACACAACAGAAACAGACACACATACTTTGTCAGTGCTTGATACTGAATCGTGACTGGCCAGTGGTTCTCAAACTGAGGTCATTAATGTTTGCTGAATTTGAAATTTAACCCATTTCAAAAAAATGCTATTCAGTCTCAAACAGTGATGAAGGCTGCAGGTGGAGCCAAAGATATGAACAGAAGTTGAACAGAATTTCTTCTAATAATGATAAGAATTCTTGTCCAAAGTCTTGATGAGCAAAAAAAATTACAAAATGCACAGTTGACATTGATATGTATTAAACTTTATTATTTCTGATTCTGTAATGTGTCTGTGTATATGTGGGTGTTTGTATGTGTGTGTGTGTGTGTGTGTGTGTGTGTGTGTGTGTGTGTGTGAATAAACAGGATGAAACAAGAACAATTCTGCTTAGAACAGCCAAAGAAAAAAAAGGAACACTATTTACATTATTCAGACTATTGTCCTCATCTTTGTTGCCATATTTATCACAACATTTCGGCCGTTGTACGCTCCGGCCTTTTTCAGGTGGTTGGAATGACGAAGTGAAACCTTTATTTTGCTCGCCGGGGTAGACTGTTCTAGTTCCACATGCCAGGTCTAATGGATGTCAGTAATCTCCTGTTAATTCACCTCTCCAAGTTCTCCACTGACTTAATCAGGTATTGAACTCACAACTCTTTGGGTCCTGTCACTGGATTTAACCAACGCCTTTATCCGCTGTGCCATGTGTCTTTAAGGACATTAGACATGGCATGTGGAACTAGAACAGTCTACCCCAGCAAGTGAAATAAAGGGTTCAGTTCAACATTCCAAGCACCTGAAGAAGGCCGGAGTGTACAACGGCCAAAACATTGTGATAAATATAGTAACAAAGATGAAGACAATAGTCAGAATAATGTAAATAGTGTACATAATACCTCATCTCAGAAATATTGACAGATACTGAAAAAAAAAAAAAACAACTACAAAACTTTCTTTAACTAAGCAAAAATCCAACAGTGTTTCATAGAAAAGACTACTGAAATGCTCTATAATATCAATATTCCAATATGGCAGTATATGTTGGACAATTTTCTCTCAGATGAAGAGGAAACTTGAGGCAATAGAGATGTGGTTCTACAGAAGGACGCTGAGAATACCATGTGAGCAATGAGGAAGTTTTCAGAAAACGAAACAAAATGGACACTCCAACTGTCTCTTCCTGATTGTAAATACAAATGTCCTTTATGTTCTCATTTTCTGTAAAACTTCTTCATCGCTCATGAAGTCAGATTTTTTTCAAAGTGACCTTTGGACTTAAACATCTTCCACGTTTGGTTATAAAACAATTGATAAGATTAAAAAATAATAATACAAGTGAAGAAAGAACAGAAATGTGATGAAATCAACAGCAAAGAATCTTTGTTTCATCAACTCGTAGAATAATAATAGGAAGGTTTTATCCAGGACTTTCCGATAATACAAAGAAAATATGGTAATAAAAATAATGCCAAAGTTTGGTACTTGTCACTTCACTGATAGCAAGATGATAAAATTACAAGACTAAGTTATTTATCCATTTAAAATATATTTATTAGAAAATATATTCAGTTTAAATAACAAATCCCGATTTGTCAGAATTACTACATAGACTTGAATAAAAGGAACTCATTTGCACAAGCAAATATTGTTTGCAATTCTTGCTGTTATGTGGAAGTTTTGCCAGAACACTAGTCTAGTCTTGGGTATGATGATAAACTATATCCGGCAGCAAGGCTTCTGATTGGAAGATTGGAGATTTTGAGGAGTATGGAACCACCTCTAAATTGCTGTTGTTCCGAGGTTCACCTTGACTCGTGGTGGTAGCACCTGTTAGGGTCCCAGCTATGGGAAAATAGTGAAACCCTAAACAAAAACAAAACACTATGAAAGTATAAAAATACAATATTATAGTTAAAATACCAGCAATGCATTTTTATATTAAAAAACTGACCAACAATACATTTTATCTGTAGTTGAAGTCATACAGTTGCATTCAAAATATTTAGATTTTGGCATTAAATAACCCATAGAGGTGTTGATATGCCGTTAAACAAACAATCTATCAGAATGCTAGTTGAGAAATCATCGTTCTCGGAAGAAAAAGTTTGATGTCATGGAGGCTTGAATCTGTTGGTCAATATCAGCGTATAAAATAAACAGGTGTCGTACATTTCGACTTAAACTCTTTTCCTGTTATTCAGGGCTTGTTGCTAGAAAGAAAAGAAAATCAGTCCTCGCCCGCCCAGATGTCCACTTCAATTTCATTAAAAAGTGTGTGCGTGTATGTATGTTTATACATGTATATTTTAATTTAATGACAGAGCTAAACAAAATTTTTTAAATTTAAAATAAAATACTTTAAAGAATAATTCTGTCTATTACCAAATAAATATCTAATTTTTTAGGGTATAAAAAATTAACATCTTTTTTGTCCGTCTCTAACTTTATAATTTTATTACTCAGCCCAGGGTAGAGGCTGTCCAGTGAGAGGGAAATGTATTATTTCAGTGTCTTATTTCAAAGTCAGTGCGTGCGTGCGTGCGTGTGTGTGTGCGTGCGTGCACATACACATTAAATAGCACAAGCATATGTAAGTTACTCACGCACAACACAGACATATGCACATACATACATGCACGGACAGTGTGTGATGCACAGAGAACTAGTTCAACTTTTATAATATAGACTAGGAAAGTTAGGGAATGGTCCAGCCCTAACAATGATAAAAAAAACCCGATAAATTGAGAATACAATTCTAAATAATTTGTAGAATTACTGAGTAGAACTAAATTTTAATCCAACATAACCGACGCCTATCTTGAATTGAATTAAAAAGCAACTACTTGTATTCATTTACCTTGTGAGCCTATCTATTTTATAAAATTTGGTTAGTGGGTTATCATGCAGACACACAAATTATCTCGCAGATGTACAAATTCCCATCCTTCTTATTAATACTGTCAGTGTGTCCTCTCCTCTCAATTATTTGAACACATTCTTGAAAAATTTTGGTAAAATATTTTATAAAATGAATGACAAGCTGGAAAAAAAAAATTAGCTGACATGATTCATTCCGCAAAGGAAGAGCTTCCGACAAATAACAGTTTTCTCTAAAGTTCACCCAATACATGGCTCAAGAGCCGCTCGAGGTTGTGGGTTACTGAACGAGGTGTCTGATATGAATATAAAAGGAGGTAGAAGGATTATGAAGATAAGGAGAATAGCAATTGATCCTTGACTTAAAGAGGTTAAGGTTGTAATGGCCAGGAAAGCAGTTCTTGGGAGAACGCTGTTTGAGTGGAACTTTCTCCTTACAAATGGAATACAAAGGAAATGTGGGCTATTCGATTTTGTTTAAATATCATGGCGAGTCATACAAAGTTCTGAACTGAACTAAAGAGTGTAACTCATCTAGACATTTGCTATGGAAATAATGAGTAGCGATACGCTTGCAACTTTTTTCTCTGTGGGGAAAGAGGTTGTGGTGTGGGAAATAAGTTATCTTCTACAAAACCGTGTAAACGATTTTGAACTCTACCAAGGCTGGAAAGTGAGGAGTGAGCAGCGCCAAATTAAATATGGCAGCAATACTTCATCTTTGGACTAATCTGATTCTTGTAAGGACAAAGCATGGCAGAAGGCGTCAGCCAACAATCTTTTCAGTATCTTTAGTATTGGCTCGTAGGTACGAGTTCCACTCGAGGTCTGAAGTGAATTTGATTTTCAATAGGTATTCAAAGCATGGAGCTTCTTTCAGAGTGCAACTGTTCATCGTGACTGAAGAAAACTCAGGCTCTGATTAGTGATGATGAAATAATACCATCTTGGTTTTTATTGAAAGTTTACAAGCCAGTTTTTCGCCATTGAACTGTTAGTGTTAAAATCAATAGGGAGATCTGTTGCAAGGCTCCGTACATCTTGATTCTTGTAAATGTATCCATAAACTGTCGTATCATCTGTACGTATGTTTACTAATGATCTGATAATGTTCCTAAGTAGATCGTTAATGCAAATCAGAAAGAGGGTAGGACTGTACAGGAAAATTGGGGGGACGTCTGCATTGATTTCATGGGTTTCAGAAGATTGGTAATTCACAAGGACATTCACAACAATCAATTATGGAGGATATGCTAGCACAGACATTGATGGCTTCCAAACAGTTCTATCTACCTAATCTGACTCACAAGGCATTGGATCAATCCGTGTTATATTCAGGCACTTTCCAAATATGCTGCACTCTTTCGGTCATGATTCCTTTAATGTGGCGATAATATTTTTCATTAACAGATTTAATGCCGAATAGAATTTGTTTATATGTGAAACGTTGAGATGAAATGGGTTCATGTTGGTCCAAAATAACGCCTCTGTTGGAAAAAAAAAACCTGCCAGGAATGTTTTTTTTTTTAAGTTCATATTTTTGGACTGTTTTTGAAATCCTTCTGTTTCTTCATGTTTTTGGTTAAATTTCCTCGTTTTTCTAAAGTTAAAATATCTAAATCTCCTGCTTTTATGATTTTTAGTATAACAGGACAGAGTTCTTTTTCATCAAACATTGTAAGCACAAGAAAGTCGACCGCTTAAATTAACAGAAACGGACATTCATTAAGGTAGACAATGATTATTTTGTAATTGTAGAAAATTTACTAATTTCTGAAATATGCAGATTTTACCTAATTTGTTTATCTGAAAAAAAAAGGGGGAGATAATTGACCAAAATCTTACAAAAAATAAAATCGCACTTTTTCTAAAAGCTTACGGCCATATCATGTTGAAACATTGACTCTCGTATGATCACCGAAGTTAAGCAACGTCGAGCCTAGTCAATACATAGATGGGTGACCGCTTGAAATACTAGGTGCTGTCAGCATGGGTGTGCGGGTGGTGTAATGGCTTAGAATTGAAAATTGGGGAGCCCACTTCCAGCTCTAATAGGGTTTGTTATATTTACTTAGGCGCAAATACCCTTTGGAAAGGTATTAATCCACATCTTCTCGTCCTCCAGCTATGGGTAAATTAATAGGACTTGTGTCGGTAAAACATTATTATCCCCCTACCCAAATACTTACAATCTAAAAATATTTTCTGGTTTTAAATAACTTATAAAAGGTTTACAAACCGTAAAAAACAAATCAATGAATCAATCGTACCTTCTCTAATAATGTCATCACAGGTTAGTTAGAGATGAGACCGGACAAATTTCTTTCCGAAATGTGACAAGATAAATAAAAAGTAAAGTAACGCGCAGAATAAGTATATTTGCTACTAATATTGTTCTTGTTTTTCAAATTTAATATAGTAACTATCACTTTTTAACATAAACAATATTTTTATTAATTAAACATTATTTTTAATGGATACTCATATTTGAGTAGACGCTCCGTTTATTTATTAAACCGTATATTTATTTATTTTCGTCTACCAGTTTGAATATTCAAGAAATTCTATTAGAGAAAAATATGCGCTCTCCGGCAGGATTCGGACTTGTGTTCCCCTAGGGAAAATCGTCATTAGATCCGTCGTGCTTTGCCCTGTCGGCTACAGAGTGCATCGATGACCAAGCAAATTTGAATACTGTGTTTAAACACAGATTTTTCTCTGACTCTTGAAATAGACACATCTGCTCAGTTTCGAAAAAAAAATCTATCCCCTGTCTTTGTAAACAATATGTAAATTTTTATAGTTAGTTAAATAAATAGAATTTCATCGTATTAATTAATATTACTAAATCTAAATCTAAGCTTATTTACATTATTCCGACTGTTATCCTCATCTTCATTGTCATATTTAAAACGTTTCGGGCGTTGTACGTTCTGGCCTTCTTCAGGTGATTGAAATTTGAAACCGAACTCTTTATTTCGTCCACCGGGGGGGGAGGGGATTGTTCTAGTTCCACGTGTCATGCTTCTTCTGGATGTCTCAGTTATTTCCCTTTTACTCAACTCTCCAAATTTTTTTTTTGTGGGTGGGGGGGGTCACCACTGCTGTAGCCTGATATTGAACTCACAAATCTTTGGGTCTAGTCACTGGATCAAACCAACGTCTTTATCCGCTGGGCCAACTACCTGAAGAAGGCCAGCGCGTACAACGATCGAAACGTTGTGAATATGGCAATGAAGATGAGGATAACAATCCGAATAATGTAAATAATCATAATAACTCATCTCAGAGATATAGACAAATAAATCTGAGCTGTTCTCATGGATTTCAGGAACTGACACTCAAAAAAAAATTCTTTCTCTTCTAAACACATAGACTATTAATATGTACGACACAAGTTCCATTTTATAATTACCTTGACAACATTTATACAGGGAAAGACTGCGTTGTTATGGGTATATCCCGCTTAGCCCACCTTTCTCAAACTAGTACATGACACACGTATAAAATAAAATAGACAGAAAAATAACGAAATCACTCATATGTGTCACATACACTGAGATCTTAATTTCAGATAAAAACGTAAATGTTATTAAAAAATAAATAAATATGTGAACGTAATTCGGTTAACTTTACATACGAATTAGTTATTAATTTTTTTAAATTCCTAGACATTTTTATTGACTCTAACTTCATAATTTTATTCTCTATGTATGAAGTTTCTTTCCTTATTAACGAAAAAAATGAATGCTCTCACTTATATAAAATAGGCGTTAAAAAATCACGTAATTAATAGAGCCAAATTAATTTCTTTTCTTAAAACAATTTTCTATAAAGAATTAACAATAAACAATCACTCATCAATAATGGCTTTCCAAATTATATCGTTGTCAAACTAATAAAGTTTTAAGATAATGCCTATAAAAGTGCCGAACATAGAAGAAACAATAGCACAATTTATTTTAATCAGATGAACTCAAACTACAAGTAGCTGTAAAACCTAGCATATATAAAACCTAGTTAGTAATAAATTTTTATGATTCATTATCTATTATAAAAGTTTTAAACTCTTAAGTCTTAAAAAAAATCTTATATTGGATATACAACTACAAGCTTTTCTCGTAAGCCTCACTTGTCATAATTCTGACCAAAAGGTTATGCAGCAAGTGATACTGTAGAGATTCCTGTGAAGAACACAATAAAAAATCTATCCATATTAAGTCATAATAACCAACAATCAATAAAATTACTCTGGAATAGAAATTCAAAAATCTATTTAAATTCCCAGAATGCCTATTATATCACGTTCATGTAACACTAGTTTTTAAACTAAAAACTAACGTCGCGTTCACGTGACATATAATCATTCAAGATTTAAAATTCAATTTAACTTTTTATTTTTAGTATGACTACTGTCTTTATCATTGTTCATCTATTAGATTACAAAGATGGAGGACATTAGTCTGACTGAAAATAATTAAATAACGATAGCTCCTCATACCAGGCCTTTAAAGAGAAATTGAAAACCATCCCCACAAATCATGATTCAACAAACTTTGAAATAATTTAATTTCTTTCATTCTTGATAATGAAGGAAGCCAGTCAAAAGTTCAGAATCTTAAAAAAAACTTACTCGAACTGTAGACAGTTCATTGATGGAATTGGAGGTGAGTACGCCGGGGGATAGTGTTGCCCTATTTTTCAGTTTTACGTCTGTGTCCAAATTCTGTACTAGTAGAGAGACATAAGCGCTTATTGGCTTATCTTTGGTCAAGTTTGTAACGATTAAAATTAACTTGTTTATTCGTTATTATCTTGAAGTGACTACAAATGAATCAATTCGTTACAGCTACAACTGCCTGTTCTGCACTCCGCAAGATGTGTTCAGAGCAGTATTTCATAGCACCCCGCCCCCGAAACAAACATCCACCAATCAAGCTATTTCGCTCTATCCCCTATCCTTACTAAATTAGCACCGAAACAATGTTGAATAAAGAAAATAAGGAATAATAAAAACTGAGATGAAAATAGTTAAAGTTAAATTTCTATAACATGCAGTTAAAATAGTAATCAAGCGTCCAATCACTTTATATGAATTGGGTTTTGTAACTTTAGCGAGACAAAACTTTTGTCTCGCTAATGTAGATTTTGTTCTTATGAAATAAAATCCTTTTGTTGCTGGTGACGCCAGTTTATTGCCAAATCATGTCAAAGTAGAAAATTTCCAAGTTGACTTCATATATATATATATATATTTGTGTGTGTGTGTCTGTGTGTGTGTGTGTGCAAAATTAAAGAAAATCTGAACATCTTCATATTGTCGCCTAAAAAAAAATGCAATAATATTATTTGATTTAAAGAAATAATTTATTAAATCCGATTTTTTTAGTCTTTCTTATAAACGTTATAAAGAATCTCATAAGAAAATTAATTTTAATTTTTCGCTTTTTTTTTTAAATTTTTAAAAAGAACTTTACTTCCTAAGACTTTTTTCCTCAATTCTGTTTTTAAATTGCGAATTTTTTTTATAAAAATGCCATCAGTTGACACAAAGTTAATTTAAGATTTTTCTCTGATATTGTTATTCATAACAAATATATTGATGATAATATTTAATGTTTATGCGTAATGTGTGTTTTCCTTTCTGAAATATATTTTTAAAAAGTATGTTGATTTTTAATTTACTTTTTCAATAAAAAATAGAAGCAACCCTAATATTTTTATATTATAAAATTAATGAAAAAGTAATTCATTAAGATGTTCTTGAACTTTTTTCATAGATTTTCTGAAATTAAAACATTTTGAAATCGGCCTTCAGCGATGGCCCTTAGTTGCACTATGTGTAGAATTGTAGTATAGAACGCCATGTGTTGATGTAGTTGTCTAAACTGTCACTTGAACAGCACAAACCGAAATTGTATGCTTAAAAAGGAATGTGAAGAAATAAAACGATTAAAGTCCCTGAATTTCGAATAGAGAAAACAGGTAAACTTTATAATCATATAGAGAAAAACCAACAATCCAGATGATATTTTATGAAATAAATATGAGAGTTGCAAATTACCTAAGTAGTCTCTACTGAGATTTTTTTTAATTTAGTCAATAATATGAAATCCAAGTTGCTCGAATCTAAAACAGCTTTCAATGATAAACATGAAAAGTTAATTTACCAGTCGAAATATTTAGATATTAACAATATGCCAAAAGATTCACTTTTTACCCTTGGGGATCATGATGCAGAAGAAATGGTAGAACAATTTGGCTTAAATGGTCGGCTTTGTAGCAGAATCTACAGAGAATTCAAGGAATCTAAAAGGGAAAGTAGTTTCTGCAAATTTTCAGCAGCTGCTAATTCATGTAAATACAATTCCAGAATGCGAAAGATACTTTAGTAGCATGAATTCCTGCATGTCGCCACAACATGCAAGACTTCCAACCGATCATCTCTCAGCTCTTCTGTTTATTAAGTTGGTGGAACCTCCTCTGCTGAAAATTCAAACTTCGAAAAATATGCGAGGACATAGCTCTTTGGTAGCAGAAGACGCGCTGAAAAAAAAATGGCATGCAGGAAAAAGAGAGAAAAAAATGGAGACTATACACCATTATGGAAACTGGAAACAATTTAAACTGGTGTGTAATTCCCATAATTGTTGCTCTGATTTATATACTAACTGATCGTTGTAGTATTTGTATACGAACTATTGTCACCATTTTATTCTGTTGTTGTTACAGCGTTTCAACCTTTTCTGGAGTTTCATTGTTGATTAGCCGCCCTGAACGCTCGTCATATTCAACCGATACTCAGTCAGCCTCGCAAAGATCTTTCCACTTAAAAATGTCTGTTTGACCTAAGGAATGTTCACTGAAAGCCTGACAAAGCGTTTCGAAGAACTCGGTAGCGGATTGGTTGAGCTTAACGAAAGCTCGAATGTGTCCGCCATCGTAAAGATTGCAGAATCGTTTCAATACACCGTTAGAAAACATAGCA